TGACTGGTGACACAACAAACGAGTGTAGTAAACAATGACATGACATAAACATTGTAATGACTGATGACACATCAAACAAGTGTAGTAAACAATGACATGACACAAACAAGTTATATTACCAGAAAAAGTAACAAGATAATAATAAATACAGGCTAAGTTAGTTGTGAACACATTCAGAAAACTTATTTTGTAAGCTTTCGAAAACGTCTGTTTCTTTGGTCAGGCAAAAAGTGTAAATGACCGGTGGCTTTAATCTGAACCGCTGAAATCAACTCATTAAGCCACAGTATGCCGTATCAGAAAACATAGAGACATTTTGCCCAATAGCACTTTAATACTGAAGGCAGGTATAGGGACAGGTGCTAATACTATACAGTATATATATAAGTATTGCCTTACACTTTATTTCACAAGTAGAAATACAAATATAAATAAAAAAACATGTAACTAACATTCTGTCACATCTATCTATAATATCGTTAATAGATCCATGGATGCCTCCGTAGTCATCAAAAGAACAGTACAGATATCAGAACTTCTATAGAACAATCTGAGTCCTTGTCAGAGGAAAGTCTTGTATAGTTTGATGTTAAGAAGAAGCCTAAACTTTCATTTAGCTTTATTACTCGTTTTCTGAGGCTTGGAAAAGTGACGCCTCCTCAAATAATTGCCAACTAATGCTTTTATGAGTAGAAAAATAATGGCTTAAATTCCAAACTTCTACTGAAGATTTTTATTCAATTGAATCTAGTGTTATGTTTCATACCCACTTTATGTGTTGATTTCCCCCTTTATTCTGACACCTTTTTGACATATAATTACATCCACTACATTAAAAAAAGTCGTACAAACACGTACCGGTTTTATGTTTAAAGGAAATTGTGTCATATGTCTGGCATTTCATAATAACAGCATTTGAATGCTTTAACTGTAAATTGAGACAAGCTTTTTTAGACAGGTTGGCTTGGGTATACATACTTAATACACACACTCGATCGACCAAACTCAACGTGGTATTTTAAATATAATTGAAGCTACCGATCTGTTCGCATAGGTGAGTTCCCGTCGAATTCCATATCACAAAGTGGGAAGGTATATGCTGAATTGGGGTATTGGAGAATATTAATCACATTGATGTACATTTATATGTAAGCATGATTTTTTTTTAGATGGAAACTACATCTCACAGCGTAAACACAAGAGACAAAAAAACAACAACTCGAAAATCAAAATGACGACGGAACCCAACAGAATCCTGTCATATAAGATACATCAACAATAATATGAATTCGAGGTTTTTATATACATTTTACCGCTTTATCTCTATGCCAATCAATTATAAACTGATATGTTTGTATAGGGGAATCCCCCGTTAAAATCCATATCACAAGGAAAGAAGGTATAGGCTGAATTGAAGTATTCAAGTGTATTGCCCACATTGACGTACATGTATATGGAAGCATGCATTTATTTTTAATCAGAAAACAGAAAACTACAATTCACAACGTAAAAACAAGAAATAAAAAAAAACGAAAATAAAAATGACGACGGAACCCAACAGATTCCGGACATAGGAAAAATCATAATAAACAATAATATTAATTCGAAGCTTTTAAAAGCCGCTTTATATTAACTTTTGTCCTCTCGAAGAGGTTTACAACCTATTATCATTGGTTATAGTTGTACATACATGGGTATCAAGTGCGCAAGTATAGGTAACACTATGCCAATAAATTATAATATAAACTGTTGTATCATCTACCAGTGTTCACCACTTTACCCGTACGTCATTTTATATTTACATAAATCATAAAAAGTGCAAACCAGGCTGTACCGTACGTCATTTTTACATTACAAGTTATACAAAGTAAAAATCACACTGTTCCCATACGATGTTGCACACAACACTTTACTTGAACGTCAACATCCATTTACAGGAATCCTACAATATACACACAATACTGTACCCTTACGTCATTTTATGTTTACAGGAACCATACAAAGAGTAACCCACATTGTACCCTTAAGCGATTTTTCCTTTGCAAGAATTATATACAACGTGTTACACCTTCTGTACCCTGAAGTCATTTTACATTCACAAACAATATACAACGGGTACGCTACTCTGTACTCGTATATCATTTTTCATTTTCATCTTGAGAATGTAAAGTGACCTAAGGGTACAATGTGGTGTACACTTTGAATTTTTCCTGCAAATGTAAAAAGGTACGTCATTATACAAACACAGATATGATATGAAACTGTATATAAGATTTATACCCGTACATTATTATGCATTCACAGAAATCGTATACAGACCAATACGCCATATTCTATACGTTATGTACGTTAGTATACATACATATGTATCAAATACAAGAGTATACAACAGTGTAGCCGTAAGGCTATTATACGTACGCGGTTAGACTACATTGAAAAACACGTTATATTTGTAATTGATTTAAATCCACATCGGACGCGTTAGCTATTATATATGCAGTGTTACAGGGTACAGGGTACACCGACTTGTCAGCTGTGACGCACACCATGTCCTAGACAGTGACTCTTCAATGGCGTCCTCCTGAACGGTGTTCAAGAAGGAAGGGACATTCAACTACTGGAAAGCCAGGGTAATTCGCCATTTTTGTTTAGTATTTTCTGTTGCTTGACACTTGATACATGCATATTCTAAAATGATAACTGTTTTTCATGTTCTTCAAATCAATACTACAAAAACACTTTCGTTATCAGTAGAGTTGACAAGTGATATTGTATTCATTTACCTGTGTTATAACCCAGTCCATTAGTTAATACTGTGACGTAACAAATAAATGAAATGATTTACAGATATGATTATTAATGGAAATATATACTCTACAAAGCAATGTTTTAATGTTATTTTCATAAATGCAACTTAAGATCCATTTTGCAATGCATTTACATCGTTGGCTTTTGATTTAAGTATTTCTATAAGATAAACTTCCTGGTTGCTACTGATACTCTTTGTGTCAACAACAATGTTGAAGCAAGAGGTGAAGTAAGGCATGAAACAGTTATCATAGTATATTAAGGTGAGAGCTAGAATAGTAAACAACATCATTGGATGTATTGAACCAAACAAGTGAGTAAACAATGACATGACACAAACAGTGTAATAGCGGGTGACACAATAAACAAGTTCTATTACCAGAAATAATAACAAGATAATAATTATGGCTAAGTTAGTTGTGAACACAATCAGGAATCGGAAACAAATTTTGCAAGCTTTCGAAAACGTTTGTTTTCTTTATCAGGCAAAAAGTGTACATGACCGATGGCTTTACTCTAAACAGCTACAAACAACTCATAAAGCCACAGTATGCCTTATCAGAAAACATAGAGACCTTTTGCCAAATAGCACTTTAATACTGAAGGCAGTCATAGGGACGGATAACATGTTTACTCATTTCGCCCCTACTGGATGCTAACATGGGGTCCTTAAGATGACTCAGCTCGTCTCTGTTCATCAACTCAACTTACCTCCTAACCCAGATGGATATTGTTTTTCTTTCCCTGAATGTCAAGTTGTCCTACCTTTCGAGCCCGTTCGAGTTGTTTCAGTCTATGCTGTGGTTGTGCGTGTTTACATGGTCTGTAGTGGCTGATTTATTGTTTTAGTTCTCCGATATCGTCTTGGTATTTCTACTGTAGACTTGCTGTTCCATAGCTTCAACGTCTTTCTGACTTTCTTTTATTAGCGTGACCCAAATTCCCTGCCACTGACCCCGACGTTACATAGACTTTGGTTAACTAACCTCTGTGTTGTCTCATTGAGCAGTTTATTTTTCGTATGAACTGTTGTTTGTNTGTTCCATAGCTTCAACGTCTTTCTGACTTTCTTTTATTAGCGTGACCCAAATTCCCTGCCACTGACCCCGACGTTACATAGACTTTGGTTAACTAACCTCTGTGTTGTCTCATTGAGCAGTTTATTTTTCGTATGAACTGTTGTTTGTTCGCAAGGGCGTACTGATATGATGTTTGCGCAACACGCTTGAAAGTACTTCAGACACCTCTTCTATGCACGGAAAAGTGACCGTGCCGATAGTTCTTCTCTCTGTTATAGTCCACTTTTTTTTTTGTTTCTTGAGACCATTTGCTTTGTTTTTATTTTCCAATTGATTTTCTCCTTTCTTTATCGATCATTCTGGGTATCCACATGTTGTCTGGGCCCGTTTGATATGTTATCCGTTCCCAAGATAGCCTGCAGTATTAGAGTGCTATTTGGCAAAAGGTCCCTAAAATTCTTGACAGTTGACTTCACTGATTCGGCACACTGTGGCCATGTGAGTTGTTTTCAGAAGTTAAGAGTCGGAACACCGGTCATTTACACTATTTGTTTAACGAAAGAAACAAACGTTTTCGAAAGTTTGCAAAATAAGTTTTCAATTCCCGTTTGTGTTCGAAACAAACTTAGCATTTATTATGCATAAAAAACTAATGAATTTAATACCGAATATAAGAAATAAATGAATTGAAAATGAAAAAAAATAACAGGTGCAGTTAACAATAGTTTACCTAATATAAGTGTTGTGTCAAAACTGTCCTCATTGCTCTCTAGTTTGAATAATAACAAAGACACAGCACACATACTGATATTAATGACAGGCCAAAACAACTATGTCAAGGATTGAAAGAAATGAAAAAATCGACCATAATTACATGCGAGGTAATGCAGAAGAACAATTATAAAACTAGGCATTGTTATATGTTAAAATAACTCGTTTGGTTTAATAAGGAGTTAATTGAACACGAGAACAACATCAATGATCTTAAAAAAAGATACTGAACATAATCTACAGGATAAAAGAGTATGTTTGCGCGCGCAGACGTTATTGTAAGATTTACTTTTATCTTAATAAACTGAGAGTGAACAAACTTAGTTTGATATGTCCTTATATGCTAAGGTTGGGACCAGACGCATTTGTATTGGTTTCGGATGTTTGTGTTTTAAGAATTCAGATGCGAAAAAGCATAATTTGACGTGTTTGTAATTTAGAAAGTATACAGCTGAATCACGAAGCGAGTGTCTTACACGCTTCCCTTTACTCTTTCCAGCTTCTGGTACTTTCATTAAGGTCACCAGGAGTGATGTATTTATAATTGTTAATATTGGTATTACCACAGTTTTACAATTTCTCAAATACTTTTGAACTATCAAGTGCAATAAGGACATATTTAGGCTACAGGGGAAGTAACTCTAGAATAACTGAAATGATCTGCACATGTACACGTGTGTGTAGATAACGATTGTGTTTGCACTTTTAAGTGTCTGTTTAAGTGTCACATTTTAATGATCCGTCCTCAGTCACTTTCTCCGTCTAGGCATGCTTTAATTGCATTGTACCATGTAAACGACGAAACGTGATCATAGACTGTTTAAATGACTACACATTTCATAAGATAAGACTAGAGCATACTGTATACCACACATGCAAAACAAACATTATAATTGTTGAAAATAAATGTCTCCTTGAGTGGCTGTTGACATGAAATCTCATAACAGACACATACTTATCTGCTTTTGTTATATCTTTAATTAAAGTAACTAATGAGGTTTTAAACAAAAAGAGCTCCAATTACCTTCAGCAATGTGGTTTATATGAAACATGAATTGAATTTAGTTTAATTTAAAGAATTATACCACTTATCTAGCCTTAACTGACAAGCATAGATATGAGGATTGTTGTGGGTTAAGCAAACCCGACACGTCCTTAAATGGCTCTGGATATTAATACGACGCAACACACAAAACAAACAATAACAATTAATTTTAATATGATTCCCTTATTAACGATTTTCCGATCGCCATTGATAGTAAACAGTGATGGAAACCAAGATCCAATAAAAACATATGACGTATTATAAAAACCTGTAAAATACATTTATCGGCGTTTTTTTAAACAAGCACTTCTATATTGAGGATGTTTTTTTTCGCCGAATGTTTCTGTTACAAAGAACAACTATATAAAAACATTGCAAAAATACGAAAGCAAAATATATGATTCACCATTTTCGGCATTTTGGTGAAATATCTCGTGTACGGGTTTGGATATAAAGATCAAATAACATGTATGTACAGTCCGCACAAAAACATAATATTCTTGTCTTTTATCACATTATGCTAGTTGTTCTATCCTCATAATCGAGACAGATTCCCATACCAGGGCCCGTAGTCATGAAACCAGTCTGCTGCACAAACTAAGATACATTTCGATAAAAAAGAAAAAGTCCTTAATCAACATTTGCCTCGGTCTTAAAGATATCTTTCTGACCTGGTTTACAACGGATTAAATAGCATCTATTGAAATACTCAGAAAACTGCTCAGTTTTCTACTTTTAAATAACAATTCGTTATTAATAAACTCTTATATTTGTAGGAAAATCACACTGTTCTTATTTAATTGTTTCACAATACTACTTGTGAGTACTAAAACCGATGACAAAGGCAATCTTTTGAGGTCTGGTATTAAGTAATAAAAGTATTTCTTTATATAACAGGGAATTCTACTTTGAAACACAACTTTTGTAATCGACTTGAATACGTATTTTATCGCACCTAGACAAGAACGATCAGCATTCGCGAGTGATTTGAATCATAGTATCTATGAGTTAGCATCGGTTGATCAGACGGTGGAGATGCGGAGTGATGAAATAATGTATTGGAGAGCATTAGACTATTTCAGGAGAAGACTAATATAGGCACTGCCTGTTGTCTAATCCTTTTGTAAATACAATAACAATTGTTGAAACCAAATTAGACTATTTAACGAAAACATAAGTACGCATGAGAATGAAATGAAAAATGATAACGGTATTCAATCTAGATGAGGTTTCGTCATTATATATCCAAATAGATCATAAACAAATCGGCACAGAACTGTACCCGTTTGTCGTTATACCCACGTCTGTACATTAGTTACCCGAATTGTATCGGTACAAATGTATCGTGTACATGTCTAAGTGTACATCACACTGTATCTCTACCTTTTTTTTAGATGTACCCTACACCATTATACTTATATGTACAAATTTATCACTATACAGTATATCTCAGCTTTTTGTTTGCATTATAAATATTGTTTCCTTGCATCATTTTTCAGGCGCGGTAAATATCCATCATCGAAAACCAGATCGTACCTGTCAGCTTTGAAGCACACAACATCCTAAAGATTGACTCCTTCATGGTGTCCTTCTGAAAGTTTTCGTCAGAATTGGTTTCCAACAAAAGGCTAAGGTATGGTACATTTTGTATATTGTAGTTTCATAAATTTTCGCTGTTTTTTTCAAGCTGGAACTTTAAGGATGCTTATCGTGACAATAGCTGTGTCAAATCAATACGAAAGACAGGGTAGCTATCAATTGAAGCTGTCGACTGCTATGTATAGCTGGCTCGTAATCCATAAAGGTATATTTTAAATATCTTGTTGAAATCTATGAACGAATAGATTAACAGTTTATAGGGTTATCATTTACTAGATAACCTTACTGCATGTGTTTCTTATCATTTTGATATATGATTTAAATCTCCACTAAGTACAGGAACGGGTAATCTTAATATTGAGTTGAAGGAAAATATCCATAAACCATCTCTTTCAAAAGTGTCATTCATGAGCGGTAACTCTGGAAACACACATGGGATCTGCACACGTACATTAGTATTCAATACGTATGTTTACGTTACTCTAGGCGTTACATTCCTATGTTCCGTCCAAAGATACAGTTGGGAGCAAACTTAACTTGGTAACTAGTACACTTCGTAGTGCACATGTAGTGAACAAGGAAGTGCACTAGACAAACATTGAAGTGTTAACCAAAGTTTAAAAGACTGTTATACAAATTTCAATAATTGTTTATAATAAACTAGGTCACTCATGATTTGATAATTGAAAGAAAAAGCAAATAAACATTTAACTGAGAATTTTACTATATCTTTAAAGATTTTTTTCTGTTTTATCATATTTCAACTGAACATACACATGTACAAAGAAAAATTGTACGCTATATATTATATGGTGAATACAGAAAATATATAAATAGCTGTACTATTTCAGATGAAAACAGTCAAAAAGTTTACCTGATCATAGTTAAATTCCCATTACATTTAATATCAATATTGTAGAGTCAGGATGGGGGATCAGTAACTGTTATGTGATATGGATATATATGGTAAGTGTTCCTATAATTTCATACCTTTTAATGAAAGGTTTCTCACTTTCACGACATCAATGGATTAATATCTTTGTTTTATTAAAAAGGTCAATGCCTTCATTAGTTCCGTCTCATATACAGTACTAAAACATATGTATTACAAAATTGTATACAAAAACAAATCAATAAAAGATAACATTCCAGATAGATCTTATATCATGACATTGCACTGTATAAACACAAGTAACAGCTCAAGCTATCGATATGGAATTAATTTTCTGTTAGGAAAATGAAGACAAAACAATCCATAAGTCAGTCTGATTTATATTTCTTTGTTACATATGCATACACGTCACGTACATGTACATGCTGATTGTCGAATTAGAAAATCCCCCCCCCCTACCACCAACCCCTACCTGGGTCTACTGTGTTCCCCACAACAATGTAGCAGGTATACAGCTGGCCTGGTGGTACATTAATGAATTACCAATTGTTAAAATGATGACAACATTCATAGTTAAAGGGTGCAAACATCTTTAGATTAAGTTTTATACAGGCACATACATGTTGAATGTTGATAAGTTGATACATTTATTAATAAGCAATCACATGAATTCAGTTGTACAGGGAACCTGAAGTTTTAATCATGCAGTTACAACTTTACTTCAGTCGTAGATTTAAAGATGGTTGCTAGGGCAATGCAACCAACCGCTGACACATATTTGTCTTATCAATATGATATCTACCTGAGAATATACATATGTTCAATGACCACACACTGACCATTCACCTGAGGTGACATGGGATACTGTTGGGCTGTACCCAATCTTGAACACCTTGTATGAAGAACATGAATCATTTCAATTAATCCAGCTCATTGTCTGTCCAATAGATACACAGGTAAATCAGTACATGCTTACAGGTAAGATACTATGGCTGTTCCTTTGTCAGAAACTGACAGCCTCGGGCACAATTCTATTTCAAAACAGATACTTTGACTCTATAGTAGTGTTTTACACTACCTTATCCTCAAATAGTTAACAAACTGGGTGTTACATAAATTGTCGACACTGATTGATAACACACCCAAGCATTTATTAAGGACTTCCCATCCTGTGTAATACACGTGTTTTTCTTGGTGTATTTTTGTGTCATCATTTCCGTATTTCGTACCGGACATTTCAAAATTTTGGTGTTAATTACATTAACACCGGGTAAACAATAGTACACGTACGTGACGATATGTCCAACAGTATCAAACAGCTGAGCTGCCCTCACTAGAACCGGGGCTGACAGGGATCGTCGCTGACCAGGACCGTTGCATAGTATAGCGTGTTCCTACACTTGTTTTATCAAAAATCTGTAATGAATTGCATCAATATATTATTAATGTTTAGTATGGTAAAGTAAGATTATGATAATTGTTTAATACAAAAAGTGTAGCAGAACTTATGCTGTAGGGTCAAAAGGTAGCAGCTGCCTTTCGGTCATATAGATCTGACTAAATTGTTTCAGTAGTACACACAGTTCAGAGGATACAAATACGCGTAAAATTAAAATACCGAGTTTCTTTTCCTTCTCCAAATAATTTTTCATATAGGCCTATCTGTCAAAACGGAATAAACTGGTTAAAACATGTACATATATGATGTTGGATCAGAGTAGACTACAATGAATCCAAATTATTTCATGTTTGTATACATTATATACACCTTATACCGTTTTCTTTGAAAAGCCGCCGTGGCATTACAATCTTGAAAAACAAATCAATGGTTTTATAACTTATGAAATACCGACAGCAATGTAAATTGTCCTGTCAAACTACCATAAATTATATTAGATTATTTTAAGAATCGAGATCGAAGAAACCAGGAATGTTAATTATTTGAAATTTCCGTGTAACCTCAATAATTATATTTGGTCGGAAAAGGGGCAATAATATTTGAAGAAGGAAAAAAGGAATCAAAGTTATATCAATGATTATTCCGTATATATATATCAATGATTATTCCGTATAGCCAATAACCGTAACACTAAGCTTATATATATCAATGATAATTCCGTAAAGCCATTAACTGTAACACTAAGCTTATATATATATCAATGAATATTCCGTATAGCCAATAACCATAACTGTAAGCTTATATATATCAATGATAATTCCGTATAGGCAATAACCATAGCCGTAAGCTTATATATATCAATGATTATTCCGTATAGCCAATAACCATAACTGTAAGCTCATATATATCAATTATTATTCCGTATAGCCAATAACCATAACTGTAAGCTTATATATATCAATGATAATTCCGTATAGCCAATAACCATAGCCGTAAGCTTATATATATCAATGATTATTCCGTATAGCCAATAACCATAACTGTAAGCTTATATATATCAATGATTATTCCGTATAACCTATAACCATAAGTGTAAACTTATATATATCAATGATTATTCCGTATAGCCAATAACCATAACTGGTAAGCTTATATATATCAATGATTATTCCGCTAGTCTATAACAATAACTGTAAGCTTATATATATGTATACGGTCCTGATTGGGAACGTCCTAATCAGGAAATCAAATGGAAATTATTCCGTTCCGGTAGGTCATTTGTATCAAATACAAAAACTCATGAATGTGAATGAACAAGGGAGGTGTCATAATGATAATATAATGATAATGATATAGATACCTAATATCATACACGGTGCTGAGCGGGGACATCCTGATCAGGAAATATAATGGTAATATATCCGTTGCTATGAACAAGGTCAAAAGATGTGTCCTTATGATTGGTAAATGCAAAATAGGTAACATGAACGATGTTACACTTTATATATATACATCTTATTACATATACGGTCCTGAGCGGGGACATCCTGATCAGGAAATATAATTGTAAATATATCTGATGCAAATAGATAACATGCATCTTATAACATACACGGTTCTGAGCGGGGCATCCTGATCAAATGTTAAATATTTTCCATTGTAATTCATCAGATCAGTACAGTTAATAATAAATATAGTCAAAAAAATGTGTCCTTATGATTTTCAGTTGCAAACTAGGTAAAATGAACGACGAAATACTATATATATATATACATTTTAAAACATACACGGTCTTTGATGGGGGCATCCTGAACAGGAAATCAAACGTTAAATATTTCCGTTGTTATTCATCACATCAGTAAAGTTATCAATGAATACGGTCAAAAGATGTGTCATTATTATTTTTAACGAGAAAATAGGTAACATGAACGACGAAATACTATATATATATACATTTTATAACTAACACGGTCCTGGGCGGGGAAATCCTGATCAGGAAATCAAATGTTAAATATTTCCGTTGAAATTGAACACGGTCAACAGATGTGTCCTTATGATTTTATAATGAAAATAGGTTACATGAACGACGAAATCTTATAACATACACGGTCCTGAGCGGGGACATCCTGATCAGGAAAGCAAACAATGAATATATCTGTTGTAATTTATCACAACAGTAAAGTTAGCAATGAACACGGTCAGCAGATCTAAATGTGTCTTCACGTTTTTGTTAATGAAAATAGGTAACATGAACGACAAAACACTATATACAAACATCTTATAACATACACGGTCATGAGCGGGGAAATCCTGATCAGGAAATCAAATGTTAAATATTTCCGTTGTTTTTCATCACATCAGTAAAGTATGTAATGAACACGGTCAATAGATGTGTCATTATTATTTTCTTTAATGAAAATAGGTAACATGAACGACGAAATACTATATATATATATACGTTTTATAACAAACATGGTCCTGGGCGGGGAAATCCTGATCAGGAACTAAAATGTTAAATATTTCCGCCGTAATTCATCAGATAAGAAAAATTAACAATGAATACAGTCGAAAGATTTTATTTATCTAGACACTTTATATTTTTTGTAAATCAAATGATGTCACGAACATTCCGACCACATATTTATATCAACAAAAACTGTTACTACACAACGGTCATATGAAGGCACATGTTACGTATGTGTTGGTCAGTGGTCCAGCGAAGGGATCATCACCAAGATACCAG